TTTGATCCAAGTATTTTCTGGGGACAAGGTTAATAAGAATGTCATTTAAGAGACAGTAACACATTCACAAGGTTATATATACTGAGAAGAAAAAGTCAAATTTTGAGTACTTGCCTATGTTGGAGCCCTGTGAATGCACATACCTGAAAGCTATTACATATTTCATGAAATCCATTCCCTTTTTCATATAATTTTTAGTATGATAATTGACGTCTTTTGCTACTCTGCTGAATTTGACTAATACTTCTCTTTTTGTGTCTTTGGTAGCAGAAGAAAGCGACTGCTGTGAGCCTTGTAGATGTAGATCAATAGGAAAATGTTCCAAAAAATATGGAAATGAGAATAGTGCTAGGGTGTCTTGTTGAGTGTTGCCTATTTTTGTGTGTGTGAAAAACATGATCTACATTGCGGTTATTTATACAAGATAAATATAAATCAGTTCTCAATGTGCTGTCAAGATACTTCGACAGATGTTTGCTCTTTTGTCAAGATGAAGTTAACTTTTCCTTCGTCCAATAAACTCAAGCAGATTAGGGCAAAGACTAATTGTGCCAAGATGCCTCTGCAGTTGATCATTAACTGAGGATTTAAAGATGTTACCTGTTAGACTTAATGTCTGATTTTTTTCATAAACTTCTACATATTAATTTTACAGTGCAAAAGTAACTGAAATTTTAAAATAATTAATTGCTCTTTATTGTAAAGTGCTCTGGCAATCACCTTTTGGTGGTAAGTGTCATCAGTTTGACTGGGTTAATTCTTGTTTGCGTTCTGCAACTCAGTTTTAGCACTTCATTATTGATCAGTGTATTATTTGACAATTTCTCAATATTTGGGATAGGTTTGTTATTTAGTCAGTTGTACAGCACAGAAACAGACCCTCCGTCCAACTCATCCGTGCCGACCAGATATCCTAAATTAATCTCATCCTATTTGCCAGCATTTGGCACATATCCCTCTAAAAGCTTCCTATTCATGTACCCATCCAAATGTCTCGTAAATGTTGTAATTGTACCAGCCTCCTCCAACTCCTGGCTGCTCATTCCACACATGTACCACTGTCCTAGTAAAGAAGTTACCCCTTAGGTCCCTTTTAATCTTTCCCCTCTCACCTTAAACCTTTGCCCTGTAGTTTCGGAGTTCCTACCCTGGGAAAAAGACGTTGGATATTCACCTATTTCTATGCCTCATGATTTTATAACCTCTATTAGGTAACCCCTTAGCTTCTGATGCTCCAGGGAAAATAGCCCCAGCCTATTTGACCTCTCCCCATGCCTCAAACTCTCCAACCCTGGCAACATCCTTTATAAGTCTTTTCTGCACCTTTTCAAGTTTAACAACATCTTTCCTATATCGGGGAGACCAGAATTGAACACAGTATTCTAAAAGTAGCCTAACCAATGTCCTGTACCGCCACAACCTGACATCCTAGCTCCTATACTCAATACACTGACCAATAAAGGCAAGTGTACCGAACACCCACCTTCACCACCCTGTCTGTCTGTGACTCCACATTTAAGGAACTCTGAGCCTGTACTCCAAGGTCTCTTTGTTTGGCAACACTCCCCTGGATCCTACCATTAAGTGGATAAGTCCTGCTCTGACTTGCCTTACCAAAATGCGACTTCTCACATTTATCTAAATTAAACTCCATCTGCCACTCCCCGGCCTGTCAACCGATCTGATCAAGGTCCTGCTGTGGTCAGTGATAACCACCTTCGTCGTCTGCTACACCACCAATTTTGGTGTCATCTGCAATAATATAATTATATTGGTTTGGTTACGTGCATTTCTTTCATGAAATGTATGATGCAGTGTAAAAGATGATGCATAAATGGATGTCTTAGATTGTTAAAGATTCTATAAATATTTTGGGTCACTTTTTAAAATATCAGGATATTTTGCTGGTAGGATTGGATTTATGCCTAAGATTTCTAAAAATTTTTGTTTTAGATCAAGAGTTCCAATTTTTGCAACCAAAAATGTTTTTACAATTAACCATATGCTTAAAGGCTGTGCATTGTGGGGATTGAGACCGGGCAAAAGACAAAGAAACATTGCATAAAAGACTGGTAAGCTGGGGTCCTTTAGCAAAAGCAAAATGGATGCTGGAATCTGATTTTTAAAAAAAAAAAAACAAAATGCTAGACAAAACTCAGGTTTGACAGCATCCATGCAGAGATAGAAATGAAACATGACATTTCTACATAATTCTAGCTTTTATGTAATATGTTTCTACATTAGGTATCTACTTTCTAACTATTCTTGTGTTTTTCCAGCAGCGATCAGGATCAAGAATCCTGGCTGGTTATATTACGTACCTCTTGCTCGCTCTCATGCTCTCAAGTGTTGTCTCTCCCATGCGCTCCCTCCTCTCCCTATCCAGTTCCTCTCCTTTTTTTTTCTTCCTTCTTTCTCTCTTTCTTTTTCTTTTTCTCAGTACTTTCTTTCTGTCTTTGCCTTCCTCCCGGTCTTCTCACCTGACCCCTTAATGGTCTGTCTTCCACTTTCTATGAGAAATTACATCTGCGCATCTTCAGTGACTGAAATAATAACAAACAGATTGAGCTTGCTCCATTAACAATGACGTAATAAGGAACCTAAAAGTTCTAACTTATGTGGGAAATGATTCAGAGGTTGTACTGTTAACAGACTACAGCATAGTTTATTTCACAGTTGAGCTTCAACTCTAAAAATACAGTAAATCTTTTGAGAGGTGAAGATCTTTCTCAGCTGTACATGTGAACTTCCTTTCTCCAGCTTAAAGAAATAGTAATAAAATACTATTGAAATTTACATTTTGAAGGGAACTCTAAAGAATTTGACTTCTACAACAGCTGAAAACTTAGGAAAGTCCTCGTTTGAAAATAATTAATAGAATTTGCATTACATAGCTTCAAAAACACTATCCCCTTTTTCTGTGTAATTTAGAATGTTTTAAAGATAATCCTTTTTTTATTATCCAAGACTTTTACTTTTATATTCCTCTGCCCTTGTCTGTTATGTGGAAAAGGTGGAATAAATTGTACTTTGTTGAGAGATTTCAAATGTACTGTAGATCCAGGGATCAAAAATTCCACTTATTGAGATTTTTAACCCACTTACTAAAAGGTCAACTGAATTAGTTACAACTTGTTAAAGAAAGAATCATACCTCCCCAAAATGTAGTGGCATTCTTTAAGATTCTTAAAATGTTAACGTCCATAAGATATTGCTTTGGAACCATTCTTAGGGATACTTAGGAAATGTTTCAATTTCCCTAGTAGCTTATCTACCTTCATGTCTGATATCATATTTTCTTAAATTTGTTTGTCAAGAGACATCTTCCAAGAATATGTTGAATCATAAAATTTAAAATCTTTTTCTGTTTTGATGTTATGGGGACCTCAATGAGTATGTGGTCCGCCTCTTCCTTGGTGCATTGTTGCATAGAATTGCATTCCAAACCTTTGCTTTGATAAATATGCTGTTTTGGGAATCAAAATGGATTCATAACAAATACAATTCTCCCTGATGATATATAGAATTTCCTCCCTTTAACATTTACTGGGATGTTTGGTTCTGTTGTTTCCTGTGAAATGCAGCTACTTGGGCTGTATTTATGGTAAACGTAAGACTAATGAATTTATGTATTGCTTTTCATGACTACCAGGCATCTCAAACCACTTTTTAAGTATTGAAAGTCACTGTTGTCATATCAGAAATATGGTAACAGATTTGTACACTCCCATAAACACCAATGTGACAATGCCCAGATAATCTGTTTTCGTGATGTTTATTTAGATACTATCTTCATTCAGAACGCCTGAAAAACTCTCTGCTTTTCTTCAAATATCTCTTGCGTCTACAAACATATTAGACCTCTCACTCCTGACATTGCAATGGACCAGGAAAAATGCCTGCTGCAGTGTGGTCATCCACCTTTACTCATGCTTCCCTCAAAAGTAGAAAAGCAAAATCAAAGTATATGTTCCCATGCAAAAGTGAAATGCTGTGATCATTTGTGCATGCCCAATTGCACTTTATGATCTTATGTTGACATAGCCTTAAGTTTTCGATTGGTTGTAAGATCTGGAAAAGAAAAGTAGCAATTACAATCAGCTTGTAAATTCCTTTTGTAAGAAGGTTCCTGGTTTCAATGAAAAGAAGGTTGACTAATTCTCAAATTGCATACTAATTGTATAGGACCAGACTATTTAACAGTCACAGAAGCACCAATTTGCAAACAAATACAATGCTGTGGCTAAAAGAGCAGGTCCCAAAATTTTGCAATGACTAACATGCCACCTGAGTCACCACTTGCAAGATTGAAGTCAGGACTCTGATAGCACACTCTCTACTTGATTGGATGAGTGCAGTTCCAACAACATTCAACAAGATTATCACCATAACAGGGCAAAGCTTGATCAGCTATCCACCCCACCACCTTCAACTTCAACTCTCTCGCATTGCAGCAACTCATCAAGAATTCAGTGGCACCTTCTGAACCCTCACCCTCTACCACCTAGAAGGACGAGGATGGCAGTTAGATAGGGCCGCCACCACCACCACCTACAGATTCTCCTTAAAGTCACACACCATCCTGACAGGAATTTGAAATTCCCTTTCTTTTAAAAGAGCATTGTGGGTGTACCTACCCTCCCATGGACAAACTATTCAAGAAGGCAGCTCACCATTACTTTCTCAAGGTTAATTAAGAATGGACAGCAAATGTTGACTGAGCCAATGATGTCTACATCTGTGAATAGACAAAGAGAAATGTATTTCATTAGATGGAGAGTGCTTTGAAATGTTCTGAGATTGTGAATGAAAATAGCTGCTTAAGTACAAGTCCTCTTTTCAAAAGAACGTGGAAATATAATTTTTGATTCTTAAACATTTGTGACCACTTCATTGGGTTTGCCCTCTTGTATGCATTCTATATTTGAAGGCTCATCCCTTATTGCAGTAGATTGTCATGTATGTGTGTCATTGACGAATGTGTTTGTTTTATTTGATAGAACTTGGAGTAGACGCTGATAAGCCTTGCGGGTGAAGATATGTTCCGTAACAGCCTAAAGATGCTCCTCAGCGGTGGGAAGTCTAACCGCAAGAATCGATCAAGTGGTAGGTGGTTTGTTTCTTGTGTCACTGTACATAGGAGTCAAAATGCTGAATTGACAGTTTTTACATTCACGTGCCTTTAACTAGATGCTACTTTGATCAGTGTGCTCTTTATAGTGTAGTGTACATTGGATGCTCAGTTGTTGAACATTTTCAAGGCTGGGTTTGAATAACTATTGGACTTCTAAGAAAAATCAAGGGATATGGGTATTATGCTGGAAGGTGGAGTTGACATTGAATAACGGAACAGGCTGGATGGTGTGTGTGAGTATGTACATCTGTATGGTGACATTGGGCATAGAAAGCTATTATCAAATTAAGTTCACTGTACATGGGCAAGGATGCAATTGATTGAATAAATGTTTATCTGCAGCCCCTTTCAAGCAGTCAGTGTCTGAAATTTGCTGCTCTTCAGTTAGTGTCTTATACTAGAGGTTGTGTGTACGTAAACATTAACCAAACATTGTATTAATCCATCACATTGATTCAAACTTCTCTGATGAAATTACAATGACTTTAGTGGGTAAAATTATTCAGCCATTTGTAGTGAGGAAGAGAGAACCTATGAGTAACCCAAGTATTAATGTCGTCTATGGAGTGAACCTGGGACTGTATTGTTAGTTCAGCTGTTCGTTGCATTAATTGCTCAGTCACTAGACATTGATAATGAGCTTTGTTTTTGTAAAATCTAGTGAGGAGATGATGGGGGATGGAAGAAACAACCATGAGACAAGCAAGATTTCTCCAAAGCAACAAATTGGGTCACACCGCTATTAGCTTTGTGAAAACTTCTCAAGGTGCAAAAAACTGAATTTACACATGATTTACCAATTAAGCTTGTCTCTGCATCAATTTTGGGCTGTTACTTAAACCTCAGTTAAAAACGTAATTAATATTATGATCTTGCAATTCCACTCATTTTCTCTGCCCAAGAAAGGGAGCTATTAAAATTGTGAAGTCACATTTTTGCAGTTAAAAATGATTATTAGAAATTTTTAAAATTAAAAATGTTAACTATTTTCTTTTACTTTGTCTCTTCTGTTCTTTCAATACATTTTCCCTTATTTTTGTTTCTCTTTCTGTACCTGATTCAACATTAATCATGCCATTTCCTACTCTGTTGTACTTCTCATTATTTATCAATCTTTAAATCGCATGGCTGACGGTTTCATCATTTACCAGGTCCTAATTACCTCTCTGTTCTCATTGTGCTGCTTTCAACATGCAATTCCAGCCATTTGCAGTGCCGAAATTTTCAAGCTGAAAAATAAGGGAAACTAAATTACTATAAATTCTGAGCCATTATTTCACTATATAAGAATTTGTTAGGGGCTGAGAAAGGTCACTTCAATAAATACTAAAATGTTTGAAATATTGTTTTCAATATCAGAGAAAAGACTGATAGTATTGTATGGGATTTATATACAATAGTGACTGAAATTACAGCGATTTTAGTGCTTTGGAATTTTTACTCTGATTTGTCCCTTATTGCTAGAATGACAACTTATTGAAATATGATGTCATGGAATACGATAATTGTATGTAGGCAAGTTACTCATCTGTGGCTCTGCAGCTAAAGTCCACATAGCTTCAAGTACATCTGGAATTGTTTGGTAATGATCTGGAATCCAGTTACATTGAGATTTAATGTAGAAGTCCAGAGATTACAAGTTTGCTGAAATAAACCAAGTATTAATGTCATCTATGGCGTGAACCTGGGACTTTATTGTTAATTCAGCTGTTCGTTGCACTAATTTGCTCAGTCATTAGACATTGATAATGAGCTTTGTTTTTGTAAAATCTAGTAAGGAGGAGATAGGGGATGGAAGAAACAAACATGAGACAAGCAAGATTTCTCCAAAGCAATACCAACAATTCAGATTTCAATTCGGTTTGAACAGTTTTTAAAATTGAAGTGAACTCGAGTTCAGAATTATGCAGAAGCAGAAACTATCCCAGACAGGGTTTGGAAACAAAGTATGAATCTTTGAAGCCTAACAACATTATAGATTTGTTTAAGTACACAATTAATAGTCTCCGACTTTAAAACCAAAGCTGCACCATTTACTGGATTAAAAATTTGAAATGTGAGTTCCTTTGTTACTCCAGTTCTTGGCTTTGCGTTCAGATGTTGCTGACTATGCACCACAATCCAAAACTTAAGTTTGAGTGCTGGAAATTAATCATAAATACTGAAAATGCTAGAAATGCTCAGCAGATGAGATAGGAGACTTGAAATAAAATAAAGGGAAGATTTAGTGTTAGGGAAGAAGATAGGAGAGAGCATGAGATGATGGTGCAAGGCAAAAGGTTTGTGATAAATGAACAAAAGATGGAAATAGAGGACATAAATTTAAAATTTAGAAACAATATTCCAATTTTTCCAAATTGTTGCTAGTAATATTTCTGCTGTTGTCATTTACACTACATTTTGACCAGGAGATCTCAGCTGCTGGTCCACGGATTTCTAGATATGTAACAAAGTGCCAAAGGGTGCAGCAAAAATAAACTAAGCAAAAATATCCTGATATATCTATACACTGCCACTTACAAACAGGCACCATAGTATGGTTTGGCTGGTGGTGGAGAGCACCTTCTTGTCAAATCCTTCCTCATATCCAAAGCACCACCCATTCAGCATATTTCCCTTGAGGTGGCTGTGATGAGGAAGACACTGTTACCCATCTCCTTCTGAATATGCCTTTTGCAAAGAAATCCTGAAGAGAGATGTAGTCGTTTCTGTTTGGATTCATCCCAAGTAGATCTGTCATGCAGCAATCTGAGTTGTGTGGATTGTTGCCTGAGATGCACACCAAGGCTAATATCGACTACCCATGAAGGATCATCACCATGGTGAAAGATGCTCCTTTTTGGTTTAAGCAAAATTTGCTGATCTTTCGGTTAAAGGATTTGTCCTCGACCAGGTATTGCAGACTGGCACATTCCACGGTCCAGGACTATGCTCTGAGGGTTGCAATAGAGTTTGGGGCAGCCAGAGCAGATGCACAATGGGGAAAGGTCGCTATTTAAGGTATTTCAGCCATAGCACATCATGGAAATATAAACTGTAACATTCAAGTCATATTTTTGCATTTGTAAATTTTATGAATATGGCGCATTTTTTTTTTGGAAAATGTAGGAAAAGTAAGGAAAGTGAGACAATTGTGCTTGACCCAAAAGCTTTGTACCCCACGAAGTTTGGAATAGAAGGATGCTATGTTTCTCAATACCCAGCTTCTGATGTATGCTTTGCTGGTAATTCTGTGCCATTGACATGGCCAGTGTGTGACGACAGAGGATGCAAAGCAATTATAGGTATCAGATTTATCATTGAGTTAGGCCAATTTGCTCCCCTTTCAATACATGGTGATGTTTAGTCATCAGTGACATCTAAAGGAAATCAAGTGTCAAAGTCAACATGAGTAATTCACACTGAGGTTCTCAGGTCTCCTCCTTTGATCATTTTATAACTTCATTGCCTTTCTATGATGCTGCTTTGATTTCCATCTGTAAAAATTCCTATATTTAACTGTGTCGGGAGGGGAGGAATTATTGTTGTGGAGTCAGAATATTTACACTAGGGAAATAGACCTTTTCAACCCATTGTGTATGTGCTGGTCATCAAGCATTCATCTATTCTAAATAAAACAGAAAGAACTGTGGATCCTGTAAGTCCGGAACAAGAGCAGAAGTTGCTGGAAAAGATCAGGTCGAGATTCATCTGTGAAGAAAAAAAGGTCAGAGTTAACGTTTCGGGTCCGGTGACCCTTCCTCGACAGTTCTGAGGAAATTTTCTTCACAGATGCTGCCAGACCTGCTGAACCTTTCCAGCAACTTCTGTTTTCGTTCATCTATTCTCATCCTATTTTCCAGCAGTTGGCCTCTAGCCTTGTATGCTAAGACATTTCAAGTGTTCATCTAAATAGTTCTTTAAATGTAAATGTTAAATTGTACTTTTAATATCTCACATCCAGGCAGGACAGTTGATGCAAGAGAACAAAATATGATAGTCTGGAATCGTGAAATTTGAAACAGAAAATAAAATGCTGGAAAACATTGGAGGAGAGAGGAATTGAGTTTGTTTCATGTTGATGACTTTTAGATTAATTAGTTCTAATACAAAGGTTATTGCTGAATCTCTCTTCCCACAAATGCTGCCTAGCTAGCTTACTGTTTCTAAAATTTGAGTTGTGATTTCCTAGTTTCACATTAAATCAATCAAAAATAATTAATGTGCCTGATTGTATAATTAAGCTTTACTCTTTAAACTTTGATTTCATTGAAAATCCAGGATCCTGAAGGGGCTTGACAGTGTAGACACGGAAGTAGTTTCTACTGGTTTGAGGAATGTGAAATGTTGGGGCATAGTCCCATTACAAGTGAGGTGTTAATTTAGGACTCAGTAAATATTTACCCCAGAGAGTCATAGATGCTCCATTATGGAATATATTTAATGCTGAGAAAGCTGACTTTTAAATCTGAGGAAGTTGAAGGGAATAGGGAACAGACAGGAAATTGGAGTTGAACTCCAAGATCGACAATTAAGTACTAACAAACACTGCAGCCTCTACAGTCTACGTGGTCTTCTATTGCTCCTGTTTCTTGAGTTTTCGATTCTGGAATGGCAGGGTGGTGGGGGAGAGGGGGGTGTGGGTGGTGATTCTTAACTTGAGAGCTCACTTTTAGATTCTATAGGAAGGTGCCAGAGGCTTTAATTTATTGGATTGAGGAGTTGGGGACTAGTGGAAGAAACACATGGTAGCATTCTACAAGAAACACAAGAAATCTAAATATAAATAAATGGTAAAAATTGGCATATGCAAGTTGATTAGCTGATAACTCTCCAAAGCAGAACTTCCTCTTGAGATTGGGGTTGGGGGAAGAGTCTCATTGAAGACAATTAATTCTGCTCCCAACATTAAATTGGATTGAGGAGCATCCATCATTTACTGAGATTTTACTCATGCATTTGGAAATTTGTAAGTGTCTGTAATGAGACAACA